AACGAGGGAAGGGAAAGCCAGATTAGATCTAGGCGGGTGTAACAACAAAAGATGTAAAAGATTCAAAATTGAATCTTATGTTGATTAAGGATAAGAGAAAATGGCTCAAAAATACTTTTCAGAATGGCATGCCTGAGACGGCTTGCCACTTGTGGATCTACTCGCAATTTTAACACTGGTTGATTAATCTGGATAAATAATTTAAATCGTTATTCGCTCAACTACATGTTTCCAAATTAATAATTGAGTATAAAGAAATAAATTTTATAAAATATTCAAATTTTTTGTGAATTGTTGAAATAGAAATTTTTACGTAGTAACTTTAAAAAACATTCGTAATGATATACCTATTTGTCTTTATTTATATAAAGAAGTTTAAATTTTTGTTGAAAATGAAAATCTCATCAACCTTGGCCTGAATGAATTTGAATAAAATATTAATAAAAATCTTGCAAGTAACCAAAATCTTTGAAAAAATTTAAATTACAAGCTAATTCAGATGAAGTGCAATAATCGAAAACTTTGATATTGATTAGTTTTATTTACGTAATGATTACCTTCTAGACATTATAAACAAACAAGAGAAAAAATAAATTCATGAAAAGATAATCAAAACGATATTTAAATAAAAGCTATTAAATGGATGTAGCAAGAAAAAAAAAGTAGCGGCAATAGTTAGAAGTTGTTATTGAGTGGTAGTATCATTCCAGCTGGTGAGTGGTGTCCCTGGCTTGATGCTGCCTTCGATTTCTTAAATGAGACCTTATTACAGTGAAATCATAGACGTTTAAATGTTTTAAATAATTTGCGTCAATGGAATTTATAAATTTTTTTGTTTCGACAGTTAACTTCACTGCTGATGTTACTCATCGATCACGGTGGCACTTAAAATTTAACAGAAAAGAGAAACAAAATTAAATTACGAGTTTGAACATTAAAAGAAAATTATCATGCTTTTAAACCTGTAGTATTCTTCCTGCCAGCTGATATCCATGCACGGCAGCAATTGCGGTCAGGGCCTCGTCATAATTTGTCATTGTCACAAAACCATATCCTAAGAAATATATTTATACATATTGTATTTGAGCTTATTTTAAAAATTTCCCTACGAAGTTTGTTTTATAAATTTTTTTGAAAATTCGAAATAGCAATGGCAAGTTCCTGTTATACCTTTGCATTTTTGTGTGGCCAAGTCCCTCATGACCTTGACATTTTGAACTGCTCCAAAGGGTCCAAACAGTTGCCATAAAACATTTTCTTCTGTTTCGGGAGCAAGATTGTAAACAAACAAGCAAAAGCCCGGTCCCCCGAGACTGCTGCATGCCGCTGACAACAAATTGCTTGGTAAATTCATGGACGTACCATCACTAAACCTTTGTTAAAATGTAATCAATAGTTCAAACAGCATATGTTTAATATTTGTTAAAATATTTGTAACATAGAATTTATTTAAGGCATGTGACAGCTAATTATAATGTGTGTGTTTGGCTTTCATGGTGTTTTACAATGGTGTGAATGTTTGACAAGCATGAAACGTTAAAAAATAAGCAAAAAACATGGGGCGCGTGATATGTGATCAGGTTACATGCAAAGATATTGATACAAGCCGAAAACACGCAACACAACCCTATTATAAGGTGCACAAGTCTTTTGAATAAATGATGATTTTGGGTTCGTTGGCCTACGTACGTTCCCGGTATGAAGTGTTATTTTTGATGCAATATTAAATTTAAGTTTATAATGCGTCATAATGATTGCCAATTTTGTTCATGTTTAGAGATGAGATAATTTACATATTTTTCATGCCTTCTTTCCCTAGACAGAAATTAAATTAAACAAGATAGACTGATGCGCTTTGTAGATTTTTCAAATAAAGACTTAAATTTTGCTTCAAATGCTGTGTAAAATACAGCTTAAAACTGGTAAAGACATTGTTGAGGAATGTTTCAAATTCAAACAATACGGCTAATATGAGGTTTCTAGTTAACTTGAATGTAAGAGAGTGGCTGTAACTCGGTGCAACACGGTGATTATCGCTAACAGCAAAGAAAGTGTTCAAAAACTAATATATTTAACTAGAGCATGGTGCAAAACTTTTGAAATGAGTTTGAGGATAAACAAATGTTTTTCACTCGGTATGAGCAAATGAAACGGTGTTTATAAACAGTTTTTTCTGTTGCTGCTCATCGACGGCAAACATATATTTAAGGTTGACATTGAATGTAACTCGTACATCTTGGTAAAGTATGCAGCTACAAAAAATTTCACAAATAAAATGATATGATCAACAAACTAAAGAAAATATTAACGACTGTCAGTGAACTAAACACAACAGTACAACTTAGACTTCGAATCCTAAGATACGATTTGCTATCACAATTTGCGTTTGAGTTTTGCACTTACGATGTTTCATCGACATGGATTGGTATGAACCTAGGCACCTTGGTCGCCAATGCATCAAAAACTTGGCTGTCAGTGCATATCAGCAGTTATCTGTCAGAAAGTCTATCAATACCTATATATGTCAAGTGGTTTAAATAATAGATCGCTCAAAGTCTTTGAATCTCGAAATGAAACTACAAGACTACCTGGAATCAAAGGGCAATTTTGAACTAAAATGCTTTTAGAGCAAGTCATACAACAGTGTTACAAAAATTGGCACCTTACTTTCCGACTCAAAAAATTTAAAACCAACTCTCAAAATGCTATCGACTTGGCTACAGAATGCAAAATTAAAACATATGCTGTAACTCTGCCGAGGGACAATTTTAAATCTATTAAAGACCACATTTCGCAGCTCGGTGGCGGCATTGAAAAGATAGGTAACGCGCCACAATAAAATTAAAGTCATGCGCAGAACCAGACGTTTCAATGCTCGCTGTTATAGCTACATTAAGGGTCTGTAATGAACGAAAACGCGTCTAGCCCAAAAAGAGTTAGGCGTTCACAATAATGCACCTTTGGTCATGATGTGAGATAATGTACTTTATTTACTCTTACTGGTCGACATATCTGATGACAGATTAACTATTTTCAACCATATCATTTAATCATATTTTTAATAAACATATAATTATGCATAATATTTGTCTATGTGAGTTTCTCACCATACAATCGAATTTAGAAAAGTTGATACAATATGAAAAAGCATAATTGATGCTCTCATGGCAGTGCACACAATACCGGCACACACAGACACATTTGCGCATGTACATGTTAGAGTTTTGTCACGTTTTGCATAATGCAACGGCATATTGTGAAATTTTTCTCTTTTTTGTTCGTTCGCCACTGCGATATTTTGAGTCGTTCGAATTGAAATGATGCAACATCTCATATTCATGATGTTGTGAATGTTATTTGTGTTTAATGTTAGCAAAATCGTGGTTTTAACGGAAAAAGTAGTGTTTTTGAAGAAAAAATTGACATTATAAGCCCATTAGCAGATAAAATGGGCCTCGTGTGAGAACAGAAAAAATTTTTGAAACAAGTTTGTAAAAATTTAAAAATTCCCTTTTCCCGGTCCACAAGCTTTTTTGAAAATTTTTCCGGTCATCCATTTTTTTGGAAAATTTCCCCTCGGTTGTTAATTTTTCTAAAAAATTCCTTCCCTCAGTCGTCAAATAATTTTAAAAATTTTGACCCCCCCCATCAGAGTGGTCTAGATCGGTCACTGATTGTAATCGTATTTAACGTATTTCTTTTCAGCAGTCATCACGAACCTTAATCTTCCTGACTGCGTTGCTCCATGTATAGAGTTGAAAAGTCTTCTTGATGGAGCCAAGAAAGGAGCCAAACTAGCTGGCAATGTGAGGTCTCCTTTAACAGTAGATGGTGAATTCGCAAACTTGACGGTAATAGGCTCCGATCCACCGACTGGGATGATTCCGTTTAGTTGGTTGATGGCTCTTTCTGCTTCGTGACGTCTGTCGAATCTCACGAAGCCAACTCCTTTTGATATGCCTGTTTAAAAGTTGAAAGTTTGTATGAAAATATTTTATATTAACTTGTAACTTAAATCGGGCTATGATTATATAACATACATAGGTACACGGATTTATGTACGCAGTTGTGGTTTTCAGAATGTTAATTTTTTTTTCAGTAGAAAGAGTAAAATATTATATAGATAGTTAAACATAGATTGGGCATCTATATTTTCTATTTGTTGCTTAGGGCAAGCAGAAACAAGTATCAATCCAAGCAACGAAAATTTCAATAGCAGGTAAATGCACATTTAATCATGAAAATAACGAAACATGTTAGCCCAACAGAACAAGATTTCAACGGTGGCCTAACTTATGTTTTGCATTATTTAAGAGTTATTATTCACATTTGAGTAATTGTTTTAATTTTTGTTATTGTTATTATTATTATTCTCTCTTAGATATATTTCAGTGGTTACTACAACAAACACACGGTGTATAAATGCACATGAATCAACGCATCACACACTTTTGCATACGTGCTTGGGTTTTCTTTAAATTCGAAACCGGGCACTGCATAGGCTATGCCAGGCACCTTAACCATAAAACCGCCGCGCCGCCCAACATTAAACATTTGTTAAACATTTGCTTACGTTTTACAATTTTAGTTATCTATGTCTATTATAATTATTAGTTATTTTGGTGATAAGTTTAGATGAATTTATTGGCTACAAGAAATTATTGGAGTAGATCTGAATAATCATAATTTATTGTGAAACTTTTAGTTAAATTTTTCATGTTTAATTTGATGTGATAGATTTACATTAATAACTGAAAGATCGTTTGGTTTGTTGGAATGTTAATGTTTTGAAACCTTGAAAATGTTTTTGAGAAAAAAAATTGAGAACCTATAAATTGTTTATCTAAAAATATAATTTGCGTCGGTTTTCTTTACCTTTACACTACATCAACTCATGGTAAACTTAATAAATTTAGTGAAGTTCAGTGGCGGGTCTACAAAACTTTGACGGGGAACCAAAATTTTGAAAATTTTCAAATTTTTACAGGAGGCCAAAATTTTCACGAGGGGGTTTAAGATTTGTGGTTGTGTGGCTGACGACCTTTATTTTTCCTTATCACGTCCAATTTTTTGTCGATTTTCTTTTCTGCTTAAAACTGTCTTTTTTCGGATTTTTATTAAAAAACTTCTCACAAAGGGGGGAGGCCCTAGATCTGCTACTGGTAGAGTTTTGTTATGATAAAAAATATTCAACTGTAACTTGCAATCAAAACTGATTTGAACGCTAAGGTTGCCAAGAACAAATTAATGAACTGCATACATAAACTACGCTTGCTTATAAACTAAAGTATCTACATAAAACCGAGTTAGAGCTTCAACAAATATTTGTTGTTTAAGACTGTCGACGCTTGCTTATGGCATATGCAGCACATGTAACTTGTGAAAGTTTTCTGGTAGTGGCGTTTCAAACGAATAGACCTATTTGTTTACGAAGATTTTTTTCCAACATATTGGGTACTCTGAAAAAGAAAAAAGTTTGTTGCATCGATGTTTGAAACTTTCAAAAAGGGAAAAATAAAAAATTGTTATTTAGTGATAACAAATTACGCTTGAATTTAAAGTTGCTTCTCTTCATCTGACCAATCACAAAATGTATCCTCACTCAACAATTTTCCACTCATAAAGCAGTTAAACATAAAACTTAATACCGGACTTCCTTCCTGTGAGTGCAGCTGTTGACAGATTTTTTATTGGGAGCCAAATTTTTCACCACTTAGTACAAATATATCGAGTGAAAATTTGAAATGCTTTTTCTTTGTTTCTTCTGGGTTTTATGATATGACATTTTAAAATAAATGGAATTGATGTAATTTTCATTCATTTTTCTAAAGGCAATTTTTAATTTTTATGAATGTTGTCAAAAAGTATCAATTAAAGTATCGAAATGCCGATACCAAGAGCGATTGTGTAGCCGATACTTTTCGGATGTTTCATTAAAACTGCCTGATGCCACAGTGGTTCAAAGAATTTTTAAAAGTGTATTAAAACGTTGCCAAAGTTTAGGTGGATCAACTATTTCTTGATGAAACTGGGGTTTAAAAGATAAGTGTTTAAGCTTTGTTTTTTCTTTCGCGCGCCTACATAGGGGATGAGGAAATTACCTCCACTTTAAGTTAGGAGGAATTTTATTATAAAAGAATCAAGAACTCTTTTAAAATGTTGTCATTAATTTACGACGCGCTCATTCTTGAACATTTAAAATAATTTCCATTTCATTCCATCGCAATCACTAGTTTTGTGAGCGGAGTCAAGCTTGTATGTCTCGTGTTTGTTTTAATACACGATCGAGCCATCATAACTTTTTCTAAATTTTATTTTAATGAAAAGATACTCATAATCATTAACAAGTCTGTCAGAACTAGCAGAATCATGACGTTTATTGTTATATGTCGGCATGTAGCTCAATCGGTAGATGTGCTATGTCTCGTGCTGTCACGCAATGGCCTGGTTCGAACACTGTCTTTTTGAAACTCAAAGATCATGCGTGTATGATGCGGTGCTTGTGCGTGCGTACATATATAACTTGTATGTACGTTGTGTGGTGTAGAGAGTTCAGTTTTTGTGACACGAACAGCTTTCATAAGGACTCGAATGGGCGCTATATAAACTTTTCATATTATATTGAATGTTGCCGGAGAATGAGGATTATTCGCATTATAATTGGTTTAGAAACTTTAATGCACAACTTAATCCCTTAACAAAACATTAAAACTGCCTATCAAGAGGTGGAAATTTGTCTGCCAGTGTTCGGCCAGGTGGAAATATTTTCTGAGGAATCGTGTAATGAAATCAACAATTTGGCGTGAGCAAATGCCCTCGTTAATCGTTAGAACAATTGTGATTAAATGAAACCGCTGAATGTTTTGCATCAATTATCTGGTTACAATGAATTGATTATGCTTCACAAAATTGTTGCGTTTTTTGTGCTATCCTGTTTATTTCGGATCAAAATTATAAAAACAACCTAAGATGTACCAATCTAAATGATTAAAGAATCATAGATTAATTTTTGCACATATGCGTAACTAATGGTTATTGTTTGCAATTTTTGACGTGATCAATATTATTTTTGATAGTAGAATATATCAATGAGTGTTTTAAAGAGATGCCACTATTGATAAAATCTAATCAGATTTTCGATATTTTAACTCTCTCAGCACTTCTAGTAAAAAACTTCGGCTTCATAAAAAGCTTCAACTCCAATCGTAAAGAAATATATGCACTTTCTAATTTAGTAAGTTTAATTTGTGAACTTTATTTAGTCGGTTTTGCAAATGTGCACGTTGAAACCAATTAATTGTTAATGCTAAAATTTTGAGTTATGATATAGTATATGTATGTATTTGTCCATAAATATATATTATATAATATTTACCAATTCATAATTTGTAGCTTTATTACATATTTATTTAATTTTAGTGAACATGCCGCCACAAAATATTCCTGTGAGGCTGTCTGCCCTAACGATTTTCTGTCTGCATGTGCGCTCCTCATTGGCTGTTCTGCTTGCAAAAATAATATTATGTTGTTGTAATTACGTTAGAACTTGTTTCATCAAAAATATATTCGTTTAAAACGAGAAATATAGAACTACTAAAAGCGATTTTCAAACGGCTTAACTTTACTGACAGTTTGTCAGGTTCTGGCGAGTTTCAAGCCCGCAAACCCTTCATTGGATTCATGAGCAACCTTCATGTGAGTACATGAAGGTTGCCCAATATCGTTTACGACAAAGTTATTTCAAGTGAAAGTTAAGCACTTTTACAGAAAAATAACGTATTGATTTTAAAAAATGAGCATTTAATTTGAAAATTATTTAGACTTGAAAACGACTAGAGAATCACATGCTAAGTTCGTAATTCGGATCTATCTGCATAAGCTGGTCATGTCGTTTATAATTTCAGCACTGATGTGCAAGCGTTCAAATGGCTTGAACACGGCTTACTTATTGGGAAAGCTTTATTTATTCCAAACTATTACGCACATGGTAACTGAGCTTTATTTTGCATTCCTCTTAGTAAACACGTGACTTTGTAATAGACTCGCAGTTACCTATCTCTACAAAAATATACCTTAATTTTGACAAAAATTATCCAGCAATTTTTCTTATAGATTTATAAATAATTAATTGATTGATTAATTAATACAATTAGGCACACACTCCCAAACACAAACACACTCACTAACACACACACAAACACACACACAAACATTATACACACTCACTAACACACACACACACACATACACACACACACACACATACACACACACACACACAAACAAACAACAAACAAAAATAAATTAAAAATAAGGAGGAAATGAAATTTAAATTTAATTTCTCTAATTTAACAATGGAGCAGACACTTGCAAATTGAAGTGCTGCGGTGAATAGGAAAGATGTTTGTGTTGATGAAAAAGTACAGCGGAAGCTTACGCGTTATTGACAACATTAAACATTTAGAAATTCGCATGTTACGCAAAATAATATCGTTAATAAGACACGGCCGCGTCTATTAACGAAGCCCTGTAACATAGACACCTTTTTTTACATTTTTCTACGGTTAGGCAATTTATTTAATAATTTAAGCTACCAAATAATTATACTAATAACTTTTGTTTGAAATTAATTTAAATTTCACGCACCAATCCTTCATTTCATAGCCTTCATGTATAAAATGATAAAATGCCGAGAAATTTGTAATTTATCAATTAATAAGTTGTTTTATTTTTAGATTATTCTTTTTACTCAAAATTTTTCTAAATTGAATAATTTTTACTGAATTAATTATTTATAAAAAAAACGCCAATAGGACACAATGATATAATGGTAATATTAAAATTGCCTTGATGCGTTTTGAAAAACTTTCAATTTTTCAAACAAAACGGTGAAATTGAAAAATCTTAGTGACCAAAAGCGGACACAAAATGTGTAATAAAATTGTAACATTTATTAAATTTTTCAAATATTTTTCATACAAAATAAACTCGTCGTTTTATAATCATTTTGATTTGTTTAAAAATTTGGACGTGTCAATAGGACTTTTTCGTATGTGGAAACCCTAAGTTTGAAAACTATTAAATTTATAAATTGAATAAGAATTTATGCAAATGCACTTTTTGTTTCCACTTCACCATCCGCGATGATGGCAATTCTCACGCATCTGCGTTATTCGCATTCAACTACCATGCTAACGAATCAGTTAACAGTGAGTGGAAATTTCAACGGTTAGCATTTATTTTATTAGTTTTTATCTTCAATTTGAAGTAGATTATGATTTGTTAATGATATTCCAATTAATGAGTATTCACATGTGAGGTTTTCTTGGCGCGAATGTTGGTAGAATGTTGTATCAATCGGTCAGGCGTGGATGTTGGTATGATTTTGTACGAATGCAGGTGAATTGGTTGTGTGTATGTTTGAGACTGATTATTTTTCCATTAGTTCTGTTTGGTTGTGTTTATGAACTCGGTTTTTTTTTATATAAGTGTGTATAAAAATAGAAAAGGACATTTTAGTTCCTAGTTGTATTCTTAGTTCTTGATTGGTTTTTCTAGTTGATTCTCAGTATTCATTCATCCTTTTTGGTTCTATTTCGTTCTCGTGGTTTGTGTTCCGCTGGGTTTCTTGGGGTTTATTGCTTTATTGGGTTCGTTCCAGGTACCGTTCTTTTATCGTTAGAAATCGGTTTGTAGTTATTTATTCTGCTAAGAACATTCGACATTGTTTATTATTTAGTTAGAACGTTAGGAGTTGTTTCAGTTTGAAAACATTTGAAATTAATCATTATTCTGAAGAACATTGTTAGTATTTTGTTTTTATTTAATAAATGTATTTAAATTAATTTCTGTTTGACTGACTTCATGACAAATATGTATGAAGAGTTGTCGATGGCTAGCAAGGCCGGAATAACCGACTGGCAAGCAGGGTGCGATAGTTCTTCCGCCTGGCTCGTGTGACGGTCAGAAGCGAGACTGTCTAGGCTGGCGGCGACAGTTGTTAGTGTTCAAAGAGGGAACAGTTTCCGCAGCGCATCAAAAGTTCATGCGCATAATACAACAAGTAACTAATAATAAAATTTCGGTCATATCTTTAAAAATTAGGTTCTTTTATTAAAAAAAGATGAGATAAGCTGAAAAATAAGAGTCTTTATCTAAAGGCTATCGTTATGGAATTGTTTCACTTTTGTCATCTTGAAGGTGTGTTGCCTCGTCCTAATATAACCTGATATTTATAAACATGATCGATCATTGCAGAGAGTTTTATTGCAATAAGAAAATTTTTCAAACCTATATGAAAAATATAAAAAATAAAAGTGGACACATTTTTTAGTTTACATTAAAAAATTAACTTTTCTGGCTAACAAACCTAAAAGTTGCTCAATATTTTGCAACGCAAACAGCCTACAAAAAATTTATACTAAACGATACGATTAAAATGTTTTAAATTCAATAAAGTTATTTACAGAAAAGAAATAAACAAATGAATAACCTGTACTATTATCATAAATGATCCTGGCGCTGATGATGCTTCCACAAGATGAAAATAGACACTCTAGTTCTTGTTGAGTCATATTCTTCGGAAAACCGCATACGTACAAATTTGCTCCCTTAATGCTTTCGCTGCTTGGACGGGCATACGACACCTAGAAGTATACAAAATATTAATTAAATTTTAAAAATGCTTGATTTTTTTCATAAATAACTAATACCAAATTATAGGTTAATAAATGGAGGCAGAAATGCCACACACGGTAATGCCGTTACTTTTCAGCGCCGATAGCGGCAGGGTAAATACTTAATTGAGCAGTAACAATATTGGTAGCAGTGATGATTTTGAAGAAAAAATTAAATCACTGCTCTTTATTTTTTGGCTGAAATCGATTATTTACTATTTCATCAAATAAAATTTAGTTTCCACAGTTGCTACAGCCTCAATGATGTTCTACGTTACTATGCAGCTTGAACGGTTTTGGTTTCAAAACCTATGAAATCGATACTTAGCACATGACGTTCAACTAAATAAATGAAAGGGAAGGGTTTCCTTTATATATTTTCAATACAACCAACCATAGTTTAGTCCAACTCTTGGTTTGAAAATTAGGAAGCATTTAAAAACATTCATTGTATATGCAATAATATAAAATAATTAACTTACATGTTAATTCGCATTTTTCTAAAAAAACGCACCTTAATAGTTTTGTTTTGCAGTCTCAGTCCGTTGAGAGTGTCCATGGCTTTTCTTGCATGCTCAGTCAATTTGTAATTAACAAACCCATAACCAAGACTTTGTCCTGAATCAAAGTATGTAGACATCCAAACTATAAAAAATAAAAAACACATTCACACACAACACACGCCGTGATCTTTATAAATAATTGTATTTATGATAGTCTAAACCCTATATATATATATATATATATATATATATATATATATATATATATATATGTATATATATATAGACTCGAACAACCATAAACACGTGATTCAAGTGTTTACATAAATTTTAAACATCCCATCATCTGACCCCAACATGAACGCATCCAGCGTGACGTGATAAAACTCGATCAGACCACTCATTGCTCCTCCAAGACAGAATACCCAAGTCAGACATATCAAAATTGTTAGGCTCAAAAAACCATTCTATTACAACATGCTTATATTCGTCAGTAAATTTTTTATTAATTTTTCTATTTAATTCATCGATATTTTTGTTATTTCATTTTTAATTTCGATACTTTTATTTTTTACTTAAATTTTGTAATTTTTCCTTTGCAAAATATTTTTTTTTCATTGAGATTTACGGTTTGTTTTGCTTGAGTTTTTATTAGTTTGTGCGTATACGTTCATGATTTGGTGTCTGTGGAAACCAACAAGACATATCATGGACTCATTAAGGCATTACACACAAGATTAGTAACGTTGCATTGATTGATATAAAATGGTTTGTGTTGATTGGTTGGCCGTTTATGACGTCATAAAAAGAGACGCCTTCAACGGCGTGTGACAGACAGATGTCAATGCATGATCAGGTGTATCGACATAAAAGTGTTGTGCCTGGCAGGAAGGACGCGATAACACGCTCTACATGTCTCCTCCAGCCGTTTGCTCCTACGGAAATAATTCATTTTCTACCAGTTTGCCAAGGAAAATTTTGTTTTTGAATTATTTTAAACATTTTTTTGCAATAACTTTGTAGACATACTGATTGTTCAATTTGTAAACACTCGCACCCAAACACCGACTGGTGTTCATTCATATCATTCAGTTGAAAATTGTGCTTGTTTCAATTAATCCATCAGATTAATTTGTACGGTCTATTTCTGAAATGTGCAAAATATTATCTGCGACATCCGACATATAAATTATTAAAATTTATAAAAACAAACATCTAATTTCGGTATTCAACGTTTTTGACCTCTATGTTATCCTAAATTAATTTTTTATTCTCTCTCTCTCTCTCTCTCACATACACACACACACCACACACACACACCACATACGCAAACACACACACTTATATATATATATATATGCTGTAATTTATGAAATATACCAAATTTCTAGCGTTGTTAGCTATTAACTTACGGGAATGATGAAGCATTTGTTGCAACATGTACTAGGTTATACAAATTCTCTATATAAACTGCAAGAAGTGCTGCAGATGATTGAGAATGAATTGGAAAAGTGTATTGTATATTATTCTAACGTTAATAAAATAAATAATGACGACAAGAATTTGGTTCGAAATATTGAGAAATGTAATGAAAACCTATCTAACGCCAGAAATTCTGTAGATTTCATAAATTACTGGTTATATATATATACATATATATTGAATGTTTTAATTTATATATATTTTTTATATTTTATATATATATATATATATATATATGTAATGAAGGATTTCCACTTCATTATGAATTGAGTTATGGTGTACAACGTTATTGTGTAAATGGTGAAACGTGTGACAGATTAAATTTAAGTTTTTGTTTGAGTTGAATTATTTGGATATTTTGAATATTTTTTCTAGCTCTTAGTTAATATTGGTTATTATATAATAGCTTTAATTGTTGTTTCTCTTCTTCAGGTACGACATTTACTTAATTAAGGCTAAATTGATTTAATTAATTTATTATTTTTTATTAATAAAATCGTTTCTCTTTTTCAGAGCAACACAATTTAGTTGTTATATGCCGAACTCTATTATAAAACAACAATTAAAGCTATATTATTAAAGCTATAAACAACAATTAAAACTCAAACAGAAACTTAAATTTAATCTGTCAAACGGTTCACAATTTACACAATAACGTTGTACACCATAACTCAATTCATAATGAAGTGGAAATCCTTCATTACATATATATATATATATATATATATATATATATATATATATATTTATTTATATAATGTAACTGTTTAGTTTTGTATACCGAATGTTTGTTCACTAGTCTGCCTGATGATGGCTTGGATATGTTATTATTACTAACAGAATGGATCACCCAAAAATATCTGTCACCAAACGCGGGGAATTTATTTTATTGAAAACACTCGACCGCATGATCCCAATCACAATGGCATTGTAGTTTATTTCAGGTTTTGTTTCTAATATTGCAAAATACCATTACCTATATTAAAAACCTTTAAAATGATCTGCTTTCAATTAATAGTTTGAAAGGCGTCCACAATCTTTTAAGGAATTTACAAACTCGGTCACTAAGTTGTTAGTAAACACTCACTCAACTAAACTCGTTGTTGATCAACTAATTCAACATCTTTTTAAGTTGCATATTTTTCAAATGTTCCGGTTATACCTATTCTTTTTCAATATAAATTAAAACCTAATATGTTTTTCTTCACGTTCGCATTGTGTTTGAATGACGATGTTAAAAAAGTTGTTCTCAGCTCTTCAACAAAATCATTTCCACAGGATCTTATTCCAACTCGTTTTTACAAATTGAATATTGGCTTGTTTTTTCTTTTTTGACATTTCTCTTTTATTTTTGTTTGAGTGCCGGTTATTGTCCAAAACCTTTAAAACATGGTGTTAAAACTTCTGTATAAATATCCATATCTTGACATAAAAGACATAACTAATTAACGTTCTATTCTGGGATTGTTGCCTCATGGTTTGATTCATTTCTGGTTGGTTGAACGCAAGAAACCTCTTTTGACAATATGTTGTCTGACGTCGAGTTGGTACATACATTAACATTAGAAGTTTCCCAAGTCTCAGCCTTTGGAATTTCTGCTTACTTTTCTTGATTTTGTAGTATACGGCTGATATATTTCACATTATTGATGATCTTAAATTTAAATATCATGCTTTTGCTGACGATGTACAGATTAAAGTTCTTGTTAGTTGTAATACAACTTTTAAAACATTAGTCAATAAATTAAAAGGATGATGAGCAACATATTAAAATTAAAAAAAGGCAAGACTCAGTTATTATTGGTTGGCACCTGGCAAAAACACAAAGAATTCGTGTAAACTCCAATGAAGAGTCTGGTTGAGTTTTCAGCTTTTGTTTTTCTGTTAATAATTTGGGCATCATATTTAATCAAAATTTGTCAATGGAACAGCATAAAAAAGTGAAACAAAGAATTTCTTTTCAGTTTTGAAGGCTCAGTGACAATTTATAAGTTCACTTAACGAAGATTAATTAAATGTTTAGTTTATGCGTTTAATCCAGAATCCAGAATTATTTATAAAATTTTTATCATGGTGTTTAAATGCTTAAACGGTCTTAATCCAAGTTGTTTATCTGAAAGTGTCTATGTATAATTAATTCTGTTCAACGTCTTCAATTACGCTCAGATGATCGAGATTTTTTGATGGTGCCAAAAGCGCAAATGGTTGGTCCAACAGTCTGGAACAATTTATCACTCAGCCTTCTTTAATCGGGGTTGTCATTTCAAAAGCTTTAAACTCATCTTTTTTCTGATAAATGAAATAGTTCTACAAATTTTTAACGCATATATTGCTAAACTATAAAGAATAATTTTAAATCTTTATAATTTTCACACGCAAGCACACACATTCACGCTCATACACACACACACTCACACACACTCACACACACACTCACACACACACACAAATATACAGAATGCTACACTCAAAACGCACAAATTTATATGGTATGATTGTTACGTTAAACTAATTTTCGTCAATATATTTTTTCTTTCGTATCGTCAGTCTGCCGTATGAATATAAATGCATTTGCTTATACAATAGATTATATTTTTTGTTGATTTGTCCTATATGCGAGTCTAATTCAATACGTAATATCTTTGTGTGGTTTTGTTCAAATGGGCATATGCAAAAGCTTGTTCTGGTGATTTGCTATCATTTTTTAATTAAAAATTAATTAATCTATTTCTTTGCCACATAATCGCATTAACAAAAATCTTTTAGGCAAATTTTAAATTGATCATTCTTCAAAATTTCGAATACAACAATGATACAGACAATTTCAAAGCATTTCGTATCATGTTCAAAAATAACGTACCGGTTGCTTTATCTCTGATGAGTTTGCAATTTTCGATTTCACCAACGCTAGAGAAGAGAGACCTGATTTCATCTTGCGACATATTTTGTGGAAGATAGTTGACAATTAAGTTTGTCTTTGATTCTTCGTCCTTCGTGTTCATCATTCCATTCAGTTGCTGCTGCTGTTGGAGTTGTTGTTGCTGAAGTTGTTGCTGTTGAAGTTGCTGTTGTTGTTGTTGCATATCTAAGACCATTTGTGTTTCTACGTTGTTGTTGGTCAATACCTAGCAATCATTGAAGTTAGGTTTAAATAAATTAAAATAGATTGCCCATTAAAATGTTTCAAAAATTGTATAACATTTAATTGAAATTTATCTAAAAAAAATTTGGAAATTATCATAGGTAAAAGAGCAAATACAAAACATTTATACACTTAAACTCTATTCATACAACTTTTTCCTTTTTAAATATTTAAAATTTAATTGTGTATACTATTTATTTAGTCTACTTTAAAACTCAAAATACGACTAAATTATCATTCCCAATGATCGAATTAATTACATCAAAAATAATTTTATTACCTATTTATATATAGAATATTTTTCGCACAAAAGGGCTTCAAGTTTTTTCTTTCAACGGTTAGCAAACGAATTCACAACAACGGACCGCACACTGCATAATTTTTTGAATGGAACAATCAATAACTTTTTCCAAAAATGGCCCCACTGATGCCGAGTTCCAATAAAAATTAATTTCATTTTGACCTTACACCGACCAAACATCAGCACTGGTGTTAAGCTGGATGAATATCATCGGTCTATGAGTGGATAGGGGAACCAAAATATTTCATCCCATTTGCACCAGCCAAATCTTGCAACTCATCGTCGGTGGACTTACAATTTGGTGCTGACATCAATTAAGAGGTTTTCAGAAGCCAAATGAAACACAGATTTTTCAACAAAACGAAACACAACTAGCGTCTTTGAAGATAATTTAACATTTTTGCCGCACAAATCTACAATACAATACCTTAAAAAACCAGCAAAAACTGTCCTTCGCATGTTTGTTAATTGAAAATGAACAAAAAAGCTAGATAACCTCACCTTCACCTTGAAATGTTTTTTTTAAAACTTGATTCAGCATGTTATGATTGGCGCAATCATAATTCAAGTTTAGAAGTGCAATAATCTCATTCACCGATAACCAAGTGAAAGTGCTGCCATGGAATGTTGTTTTCACGAGCAGAATGTGCATTGAGCTTTAAATTTGATTTTGTTAAATATAGCACCACCATTTCAATCGATTTGACAATAACATTTATCTAGAGATTTATCCGTAATTGTTTTGAATGGATGTATCCAACCTAGGCTTATTCATTAACGGTCTAAAGCAAGCTTGCCAAGTAAACTTTAGAAATATATCATCCATTAGGAAGCGTTTGCTTTGCTGTTAAAAACAACAAAACAATTGTTTAAAATTGTTTTACATTTGAAGGAGATACTAAAGCAGAGTTATCACATATTTTTGTAAAAAAAACTCTTCCTCCATGCAATGTTCAAATTAATTTAATATTTCAATGAATAACTTTTCAATTTTTAGAGCTTGAGTCATTAAATTGCCGCCATAATTCTACCGACCTCATTCCTAAAAATTTAGAAAAGCTACCAAATATGTTTTTGATTTTTTGATTCATGTGTGTAACATACGGAGCAGCCTCTTTTTTAAAGACGCCTGAACTCCATGCCAATATAATTTTTTAGCAACATTTTCAGTTTTATTGATCCTGTAGACCTGTTAGCCAGAATATATTTTGCATTGATTAGTTAATCGGTTGAACCACTACTAAGTTAAATAATTTTCTGTTCTCTCAATTACTATTTATAAAAATTGTTATTTTTTATAGGTTGAAAATTGATTGCTGTAATAAAAAATATATATTGTTATAGTTTTTAATTTTTATTAGAAAAAATGTACTGCAATGATTCATTAATAATTTTATTTGACACTTTGAAATCACAATAATAACGCCATTAACGAAACAATTTTTAACGAAATAATTTTTTGAAAAAATTATCATTAAACAGAAAAATCAATTTTGGTCATGTAGTATCTCATCAGTACCGAAAAATCTATGCTTGTAACCAAATTTTGAATAATTCTAAAGTGATAAACCGTGGTTAAGATTATTTTCAAATAGTTCTTCTTATTTATTTTATTTATGTTAATATTACTGCTTAAACATGTAGACAAATATTCATGAGGTAAGACTGCATGTTTCGAATCACTCGTTGGATCAACTGGTTTCAAAACTCAACAATAATTAAATACCTTAGAAAAATGTCAATTATTTTATTGAATTTATATAATTTTGTATTTGAAATATTAAGGATGATGATAATAAAAATAATAACAATAATAAAATAATAATGATGATTATGATGAAGATGATGCCACCGATTATGATGATGATGAAAAAATAATAAACATCACATTAATTAAGCTAGCTCAGAGTTATATATACTTTATTTCCAATATAAAGATCAACCTTATGTTGCCTATAATACAAAAATATAATGCATAGCAGTGCGACATTTTAAAAAAACTTTATAAAATTGTAATCTTAAAAATTTCAACCACATTACAAAATTTATTTCCTTTAATAACTTACATATCATTCTGTTGTTCAATATTTTCAATGTTTTTGGCAAAATATTATCTGATAGAAAGTTATGCTACTTGTTTTGCCGATTAAATTTTGATATCTTTTGACGTTACATTTTAGCAATGATATCAAAGCACCAATTTTGTTATGTAAATCTTTTTTCCGAAATTAACAAATGTTGAATAAAAAGCTCTACGGCTTATATAATAACCAGAGGAGACTTAGTAACAATGCAGACTTATTTATGAGAGGTAAGGTGTGAGGTGTTGATAATTGCAGAATGAAGACAACAATAAAGATGTCGTTTTCGGTGCAGACAGGCTGGCTGCGGAGGTGCTTCATTTCTTATCTTTACTACTCAACACCTCAGGCTTATTTTTACAACTATTCTTTTTCTTTTGGAATTATTATTATTATTAATTTAGTCGTATTTTTTGACAGTGTAATAAAACGTGAAATATTTAACTAATCCATAAAAATTTATTTAAACTTTTAAAATTTTTATTCAATTCAACAAATTCAAACATTTAATACAATTAGAAAATTAATTGAAAAACATAGCATTGGCTGTTGTTATCAAAGTTCTTAATTGTATTTAAATTGTTAGTTATGATATCACTACGGTTTTCGTATGGGTATCGACGCGCACTTGTGATATGTTTGTTACATAGTGTTCTCATAACTACTGCCGGGCGAACATCAATGCGGTCATTTAAATTTTTAAACGTTTGTACACAGCACTAAAAACTACCTTTATATGTTTTGTATGCACACTTTTTTGCTAGTCCGTTCATATTATATTTTGGAAGCATGCATAAATCGTGCTGATAGTTGCTTTTTGGACAAATTTAAAACTATTTTCAAGATTATTGAAAAATTTGATAAACTTTGAGCTTTATAATTTATAAGCCTTTATAAAATGTGAAATGTCAAACTGTGCCAAAATAAATTATTAATAACTCATCAAAAAAAGGAAAGAATAGAGCATGATAAATTTTTTAAACAATTTTTGATGGAAAGTAATGTGCCAAATATTCTTCCACTGATATTTGCTTTATTTCAACACTCTACCAAGTTTAAATTAATCAACTTGAGACAAATGAAACTACTATGGTCCGGATTCCACAAAATAATTCACTGGCTGTTTTAAAATACATGCATGTAGCCAGTATTTGAATATATGTAGCAGTACTTGGCATTTAAATACTATTTAAATACTGAATTTTGAGTAAGTACTTGCAAAGTATTTAAATACTCAACATTTGAGTACTTTAACAACACTGAATAACATCTTTTGACAATTACTTATTTTTTGCCGTGTTTGCTAACAAAGAGTCACTCAAAGTAAAAACATTTTTAACTCTTTCATTAATTTCTTATTAATTATTCATTAATTCCTTTAATTTAGAGCGGAAGCAGATGTATTATTTCGTCTCTAATCAGCGGTGACCTTGCAATTATTAACCAGCTTGTTAATTATCTTTTAAAGAAAAACTTTTTTTTAAAACTCCTTTCTTCAAATGCAATTACTGTTGACAATAATTTTGCGCAGTTCGGCTCAACTGTTTGCAGGTAACGATTGCTGGTCCTTTTAAAAGATTGCATGCACTCTCCAACAACTGATTAAAAAATTGTTGCAGAAAAGCTGTACCCTCGTTGACCAGCGTTATTCGATTTTTAATAAAAGGTCAATTTTCGGTTAGTTAATGAACGTTTACCCAGATGTTAAAAAATGTCAGCAAGAGATATATTGTTACGTCTGTTTCGCCGCCAAACACGATTGTTGCATCTTTCAATACTGCAGTTTCGTTCGTAGCCGTAAAATTAATTTAATTATTTTCTGTCGGTTTTCATCATCTTAAATGTTTCTACTCGTCTGAGTTTTTGCTTTTGATTAACAACGAAACCAAAAAGCAGTCAATTGAAATGTAATTTGTTCACCGGTAGACTTTTCAACCGTTTTTGTTTTCGGTTTCATTGTGCAGCGAGTTTGTTATTGTATTATGTTGAATGTTGTTATTGTAGTATGTTGTTGTTTATTATGCAGCCAGTTTGTCGTTGCTGTTTGTTTTGTTGTAGCACGTTGTTGTTTATTATGCAGTCAGTTTGTTGTTGTTGTTGTTGTGTCAGACTCGTAGGTCGCATAACTTCGCATCACATCTATTTTTAATACTTTTCTTTGAATATATAAAAAGAAAAAAATAAATAAACAAATAACATTAAAAATTATGTATTGATACAAGTTTTATGTACAATATTTTTTTTAGAACTTCTGAATGGTGTGAAAATTTGGTTCTAGCCCTGTCTAAAACAGATCTAACAAATATATGTTAACCCTGCATTTTGGTGCTGAGCAGCCGATGAAACAGAATGCTAAACCGCGCAAACACACAGAGCGGTAAACATGATTACAAACGTCTGCTTCACGACAATCACGCAGAACAACATCACGTGGAGGACGACATTGTGAAAGAATGAGACTCCGCCTTTTTCTTTGTG